AGAGTTTTAGTGTCTAGTTTCTTGAGTTCTTTGTATATTCTGGAGATCAGACCTTTGTCTGATGAGGGGTTGGTGAAGATCTTCTCCCAGTCAGAAGGCAGTCTTTTTGTCTTACTGACAGTGTCCTTTGCTTTACAGAAGCTTCTCAGTTTCAGCAGGTCCCATTTATTCATTGTTTCTCTTATTGTCTGTGCTGCTGGGGTCCTACTTAGGAAGTGGCCTCCTGTGCCTATATCTTGTAGACTACTTCCCACTTTCTCTTCTATCAGGTTCAAAGTGGACAGATTGATGTTGATGTCTTTAATCCATTTGGACTTGAGTTTTGTGCATGGTGATAGATATGGATCTATTTTCATTCTTCTACAGGTTGACATCCAGTTATGCCAGCACCATTTGTTAAAGACGCTTTCCTTCTTCCATTGTATACCTTTAGCTCCCTTGTCAAAAATTAGGTGTTCGTAGGTTTGAGGGTTAGTATCTGGGTCTTCTATTCGATTCCATAGGTCGACTTCTCTGTTCTTATGCCAATACCAAGCTGTTTTCAATACTGTAGCTCTGTAATAGAGTTTGAAGTCAGGGATAGTAATGCCTCCAGAAGTTCCTTTATTGTATAAGATTGTTTTGGCTATCCTGGGTTTTTTATTTTTCCATATAAACTTGATTATTGTTCTCTCAAGGTCTGTGAAGAAGTTTGATGGGATTTTGATGGGGATTGCATTGAATCTGTAGATTGCTTTTGGTAGAATTGCCATTTTTACTATGTTGATTCTCCCAATCCAAGAGCAGGGGAGGTCTTTCCATTTTCTGGTATCCTCCTCAATTTCTCTTTTCAAAGGCTTAAAGTTCTTGTCAAATAGGTCTTTCACATCCTTGGTTAGAGTAACCCCAAGATATTTTATGGTGTTTGTGGCTATCGTGAAAGGTGATGTTTCTCTGATTTCCCTCTCCGTTTCTTTATCCTTTGTGTATAGGAGTGCCACTGATTTTTTGGAGTTGATCTTGTATCCTGCCACGTTACTAAAGGTTATCAGCTGTAGGAGTTCTTTGGTAGAGTTTTTGGGGTCGCTTATGTACACTATCATATCGTCTGCAAATAACGAAAGTTTCACTTCATCCTTTCCAATTCGAATCCCCTTGATCCCCTTATGTTGTCTTATTGCTATTGCTAGAACTTCAAGCACTATATTGAAGAGGTATGGAGAGAGTGGACAGCCTTGTCGCGTTCCTGATTTTAGTGGAAAGGCTTTGAGTTTCTCTCCATTCAATTTGATATTAGCTGTCGGCTTGCTGTATATTGCTTTTATTATATTTAGGTATGATCCTTGTATCCCCAGTCTCTCCAACACCTTTATCATAAAAGGGTGTTGAATTTTGTCAAACGCTTTTTCAGCATCCAATGAAATGATCATATGGTTTTTTTCTTTCCGTTTATTTATATGATGGATTACATTGATAGATTTGCGTATGTTGAACCATCCCTGCATCTCTGGGATGAAGCCTACTTGATCATAATGGATAATTTTTCTAATGTGTTCCTGGATTCGGTTTGCCAAGATTTTATTGAGAATTTTTGCGTCGATGTTCATGAGTGAGATTGGCCTGTAATTCTCTTTCTTGGTTGTGTCTTTGTGTGGTTTTGGTATTAGGGTGACTGTAGCTTCATAAAAGGAGTTTGGCAGTGACTTTTCTTTTTCTATATTGTGGAATACATTAAGGAGTATAGGTATTAGCTCTTCCTGGAAGTTCTGGTAGAATTCTGCATTGAAACCATCTGGTCCTGGGCTTTTTTTGGTAGGGAGATTTTTGATAACAGCTTCTAGTTCTTCACGACTAACAGGTCTATTTAGATTGTTCACCTGGTCTTGGTTCAACTTTGGTATATGGTACTTATCTAAAAAAATGTCCATTTCTTTTACATTTTCCAACTTTGTAGCATATAAACTTTCGTAGTAAGATCTAATGATTCTCTGTATTTCCTCTGTGTCTGTGGTTATGTCCCCCTTTTCATTTCTGATCCTATTAATTTGCAAGTTCTCTCTCTGCCGTTTGATTAGTTTGGATAGGGGTTTGTCAATCTTGTTAATTTTCTCCAAGAACCAGCTTTTTGCTTCATTGATTCTTTGAATTGTTTTCTGTGTTTCTATTTTGTTGATTTCAGCCCTCAGTTTGATTATTTCCAGTCTTCTACTCCTCCTGGGTAAATCAGCTTCTTTTTTTTCTAGAGCTTTCAAGTGTGTTGTTAAGTCTCCAATGTGTGCTTTCTCTGTTTTCTTTAGGTGGGCACTTAGTGCTATGAACTTTCCTCTTAGCACTGCTTTCATTGTGTCCCATAGGTTTGAATACGTTGTGTCTTTGTTTTCATTATATTCAAGGAAGACTTTAATTTCTTTCTTTATTTCTTCCTTGATCCAGGGGTGATTTAGTAGTTGACTGTTCAACTTCCATGAGTTTGTTGGCTTCATGGGGGTACCATTGTTGTTGAATTCTAATTTTAATCCATGGTGATCTGACAAGACACAGGTGGTCACTAATATTTTTTTGTATCTGTGGAAGTTTGCTTTGTTACCAAGTATGTGGTCAATTTTCGAGAAGGTTCCATGGGCTGCAGAGAAGAAGGTATATTCTTTCCTATTTGGGTGGAGTGTTCTATAGATGTCTGTTAAGTCCATTTGATTCAGTACCTCCAGTAAATCTCTTATTTCTCTGTTAGGTTTCTGTCTGATTGACCTGTCCATTGGTGAGAGAGGAGTGTTGAAGTCTCCTACTATTAGTGTGTGTGGTTTGATGACTGCCTTGAGTTCTAGAAGAGTTTCTTTTACATATGTGGGTGCCTTTATATTAGGGGCATAGATATTCAAGATTGAGACTTCTTCCTGATGAATTGTTCCTGTTATGAGTATGAAATGTCCATCTCCATCTCTTCTGATTGATTTTAGTTTGAAGTCGATTTTGTTAGATATTAGAATGGCCACACCCGCTTGTTTCTTAGGTCCATTTGCTTGGAAAACCTTTTCTCAACCCTTTACTCTGAGTAGGTGTCTGTCTTTGTGGTTGAGGTGTGTTTCTTGTAGACAGCAGAATGTTGGATCCTGTTTTCGTATCCAATCTCTAAGTCTGTGCCTCTTTATAGGTGAGTTGAGACCATTGATATTAAGTGATATTAATGACCAGTGATCGATGAGTCCGGTCATTTTTTTGGGTAGTAGCGTGTATGTGTTTTCCTTCTTTGAGTTGTGCTTGTGGAGGGTCGCTAGATGTCTGAGTTAATGTAGGCAGTGTTGGGAATGTTGGATTCCTTGGGTTGTGATTTTCCTTCTAGTATTCTCTGTAAGGCTGGATTAGTAGCTACGTATTGTTTAAATTTGTTTTTATCCTGGAATATTTTGTTTTCTCCGTTGATAGTGAACAATAGCTTGGCTGGGTAAAGTAGTCTGGGTTTGCATCCATTGTCTCTTAGTTTCTGCAGTACCTCTATCCAGGACCTTCTGGCTTTCATGGTTTCCATAGAGAAGTCTGGTATAAGTCTGATAGGTTTACCTTTATAAGTTCTTGACCTTTTTCCTTTTCAGCTTTCAATATCCTTTCTTTAGTCTGAATGCTTTGTGTTTTGATTATTATATGACGAGGGGATGTTTTTTTCTGATCCAGTCTATTCGGTGTTCTGTATGCTTCTTGAACCTTCATAGGAATATCGTTCTTTAGGATGGGAAAGTTTTCTTCTATAATTTTGTTGAGTATATTTTCTGGACCTTTGAAATGCAATTCTTCTCCTTCTTCTACTCCTATTATTCTTAGATTTGGTTTTTTTATTGTGTCCCACAGTTCCTGAATGTTTTGTGATGAGAATTTGTTGGATTTGCTGTTTTCTTTGGACAGAGTGTTTAATTTTTCTATGGTGTCCTCAGAGTCTGAGATTCTTTCTTCTATCTCTTGTATTCTATTGGTTAAGCTTGTTTCTGAAGTCTCTGTTCGTTTACCCAGATTTTCCATAGCCAGCCGGCCCTCGGTTTGTGATTTCTTCATTGACTCCATTTCAGTTTTCAAATCTTGAACTGTTTCTATTACCTGTTTTATTGTTTTTTCTTGGTTTCCCAGAATTTCATTTACGGATTTACTCATTTCTTCAAACTTTTTGGTATATTTCTCTTCCATTTCTTTACTCATTTCCTCAATTTTTTTATTATACTTATCTTCCATTTCTTTACGGCAGATTTTCACCTCCTGTTTAAGTTCCTCTATTATTTTCATAAAGAAGCGCTTAGAGTCAAATTCTTCTATTTCTTCTGGCGTAGGGTGTTCAATTCTTCTAGTTTCGAGCTCCCTGGATTCTGGCGATGTCATGTTGCCTTTCAGGTTGTTGGAGGAATTCTTGCATTGGCGCCTGCCCATCTCCTCCACTCTGGATGAAACTCCTCAGCACTTTCTGAATAGAACTCCTCAGCACTCTCTGGGTAGGACTTCACAGCACTCTCTGGATAGAGCTCCTCAGCCCTCTCTGGGAAGAACTGCTCAGCAGGGCAACAGGGCTAGCTGGTCTTCCCAGGACTCAGGAGACAAAGGGCCCGCAGCAGTGGGGGGAGGGGAGGCGTCCCTTGGAACACCAAAGACCCTGCTGCAGATGCTGGGGGGGGCTGTGCTCTCTTCCTGGGCAGTGGTGAGCTCCCACTCACCTCTCTGGGAAGAACTGCTCAGCAGGGCCTCAGGGTTACTTTTTTTATTCTAGTTTCATACATTGGCCTACAAATTTCATGATTTCCCAGGTTGACCAGAATTTACTTTGTAGACCAGGCTAGCCTCAAATTCCGAGATCCACCTACCTCTGCTTCTAATTTCTGGGATTAAAGTTGTGTGCCACCACATTTAGCTAGTGTCTTAAAGTTTTTATCACACAAGTTACCCCCAATTTCTAATGCAAATCTCTAACTCACTGTTTGGTATTCTCAATTTTCTCAGCCAATATAATTTGTAACTGCCTTCTAAGAACTTATCATTATTCCCAGAGATAAGAATGAAGGGGACAGCAGTCTAAAAGACAACTAAAGGATCAGAGAACATCGAGAAAGAAGGAATGGAAATATTTTAAGAGCCAGAGGACCAGAACATTTGCTGAAAGGTAATGTCTTGTGTATATGACAGGAAAGTTTTATCATATATTCTTCACAATATGATTACCTAAACAAGGCCTATAGAATGATGATACCAGCTGACATGCCAGCATGCATGAAAAAAATCCCACTTCCCTTTCCCCAAATGAAGAATTTCAGACAATAACTGCTACTGAGAGGGTAAGTTTAAGTCGTTTCCATAATTGTGATCTTCTTCATTAACCCTCTACCACACTTACTCAATTATATTTGGTCTAACCTAAACATACACATATCTAAGGAAAATCAAATGTACTCAGAAAGTTACATTGATACTTTATATTTGTTGTGTTGTAGAAAGGCTGTTAGTTCTTTCTTGGCTGCTCAACCACAAAATAATCACATAGAAACTATATAATTTAAATCACTGCTTAACTAATCACTTAAGCATATTGCTAGCTAGCTCATATCTATGGTTAACCCATTTCTATGATTTTATATTTAACACAAGGCTTATAGCCTACCAGCAAGGTTCCAGCTAGCAGTTCACATCTTCCTCCTCTGGTGGCTACATGGCATCTTCCTGATTTTGCCTTCTTTCTCTATCTATCTTTTCTGGCCTGGCTATACTCTGTTAAGACATTGGCTGAAAACAGCTTCTTTATTCATTAACCAATAAAAACAACACATATACACAAGTACTTCCTGCACTATGTGTTAATGTATGTATTTATATTTATACACATATACTTATATACAGTTTTATATATGTAACAATAATTAAAGACCATGTCATAAATTTATGAAGTGGGGGAGATATAGGAAGTTGAAGGAGGTATAGAAAGGAGTGGAAATAGCATAAATACAGTATTCAAGTATGAAATCCTCAAAACAAATAAAATAAAAAATAAAACAATACAGCCCTAGATCCAGGTTTTGTAAAACATACACAGATCCTACTGGAAAGAAGAAATACACAAGATCTCCTGAGAAAATTGGGAGCATTTGGATGGAGAAAGAAGATAAATGGAAGGGGAGGAGGAGGGGAGGAGGGAGGGACAAAATCTTGAAGGAACTGGATGATCTGATGGGGGAAGGACAGAGATAGATAACAAGGAAAGCAATATCATTGTTGAGGGAGTCATTATGGGGCTAGCAAGAAACCTGGCACTAGAGAAATTACCAGGAATCCATAAGGATGACCCCAGTATGACCCTAAGCAATAGTAGAGAGGGTGCCTGAACTGGCCTTGCCCTGCAGTCAGGTTGATGACTCTTAAATGTAATCATCGAATCTTCATCCAGCAACTGATGGAAGCAGCTGCAGAGATCCATAAGGGAACACTGGGCTGAGCTTCCAAAGTCCAGTAGAAGAGTAGGAGGAGTGAGAATATGAGCAAAGAGGTCAAGAGCAGGATGGGGACACCCACTGAAACAGCTTTCCTGAGCTAATGGGAGCTCACCAACTCTGGCCTGATAGCGACGGTCCCAACATAGAACCAAACTAGGCCTGGTAAATGTTGGTGACAGCTATATGACTGGATCAGATTGTGGGGCCACTGGCAATGAGACCAGAATTTATCCCTACTGCTTGTTCTCACTTTTTGGAACCCATTCTCTCTGAAGGGATACCTTGCTCAGCCTAGATATAGTGGGGAGGGCCTTGGCCTTGCCTCAAAGCGATGTGCTAGAATTTGGAGACTCCCCATGGAAACCCTTACCTGTTGGGGACTGTGGACCCCCAGACCCTGAATTTCCTGTCATCCCCTGCCTGTCTGAGTAAACAACTTGTTTTCCTATGCTTGCAGCTGCTTTGAGCAAACAACTTGTTTTGCAGCTGCTCTGAGCACCAGACCCTCAGAAGTTCCTGATAGCAGGGGAGTGATTCTGATGGGCTTGCAGCTGAGATGTAGGGTGTGGCCATTAGTCAAGGAGACCCTCTATAGGCTGCCCTGGAACACAATAAATGGGCATTCTTGGGTCATTCTTGGCGCTACACGTGTCTCTGTGTGTTTCAAAATCCAGGCCCTGCCTGACTCATGAATTGTACCTTAGCACGTAGAGCATAGAGCAGATGTGGTGCTACACTTACCCTCTCTGAGGATTGAATGGGGGGTAGGATGAGGGGTGGAACCAGGGATGAAGAAGGAGGGAGCAGAAGGAGGGGAGGGAGTGGGAACTGGATTTGGCATGTAAAATGAGATAGATTTCTTTTAAATAAACTTTTAAAAAGGAAAAGATTAAGAAAAAAAGAAAATCGAACAAAGTCAGGCACTTCATTCATGCAAACCCAGAGCCAATGGAATTGTCTGATGGTCTCAGGAATCTATGAAGCTAGGAGACTGGCGAGGAGAGGAGGAGATGTGGGAAAAAATGCCAGATTATCCATTGCTGAGGTCTTAGTATACATCTTTAATTTCATTTTTCTTCTTTTGAATTTTATTGTAAATAAAATTCTTAAATTTCAAATGCATATATCAATTGTATGTTAAATCTATTGATATTTTATTAGCTTGTATTTAAGGTTTAATATATCTTATTCCACTCAAATTTAGAGGTCATAACATGACTATAATGATGTTTGGGTAATGAAATTTATATAACTATTGTTATTAAATTTTTCCTTATTTACTGATATGCAAACCATATCCAAATATAATTTCTTTTGAGACCATATCTATCTTTCCAAATTAAAAAAAATACAGCCAAATGTTTTCCAAATGTTCCTTTTGTTTGATTCCCTCATTGCTGTCTATCCAATGCCTTCATCATTTTCTAATGAATATGGATAATTCCCTAAAATGCCCGGTTTCTTGTAAACACGTTTGGAAATCTCCACACAAGTCTCTTAATTGGCAACTCTCAAAGAGGATTGCTTCTATCTGGCCTTCAAACATAGTTCTCACCACAGAACACAAAACGCAGCGGCACCCTGCACTGACTAGCATATATTTATTGATCAGCATGGCTTCTTTGTGGGTAGTTTAAAATTTGTCTATCTTAGTTGTGTTCCTTAAAACATAGCACAGCAAATTACATGGGAGAAAAAGCACTGAGTGTTTACAAATTTGAAATGACACTTACTCTGAACTGACTTACTATAACTTTCAGTTAAAAATATCTGCTCTTGGAATTGCAAAGGCATACATACTTTAAGGAATTTACAGATATGAGTTAACGCTGAGATGAGTGTCCTGTTTTTTGCCACAATGATAAAACTTTATCCTCCATTCCTTTGGATCTTTTAGAAGTATATCATTAGCTTGAGGGATATGAACTTATACTCTATTGTGTTATGGTATGGTTTTGTTTCTTGGTTCTTTTTTCTACTGTATTTTACTGATATTCAATACAAATTTTCCTGTGATTACTTTCCAGATCTGATGGAATTTTCCTCATTATTTACTTGACATTGCCACTTATTTCTGTTTTCCTTTTACTATATCCCCTTTTATATATAAGCATAGGCACATTTTCCTTAATTTCCAGAATAAGTAATGATCAATCTGGTGAATTACAGAGCTAACTAAAGTTAAAGAGTAAATAACTTAGATTCTAAGGAGCAATTCATTAGAAAGTCTTAAAAATTAAAAATAAAGCAAGCATAACATTATTAAGCTATGGATGAAACACAAGATAATTTTAACACAGTTAATCAATTAACCTGGTTAGTTAGACCTGAAATAACAGGCAGAAAGATGGGCACATTTATATATGTTATTGTAATTAGGCCTTCAGAAGACATCAGATAGAAAGATTAATAAAAATGGGAAATGTATAGGACATTCATTATGTCCAGGTACTATCCTAAATTCTTCATGTTTCATTGAGTTGAATTCATAAAATCATTTTAAACATTGGAAAGGCAGAAAAGCTACAAATGTACACCAGTAAGTTTCAGATCAGGGGACTGATGTCCAAGTGTGATGCCTGCTCCCAGCTTGCCTTCTTAGTTGTATTTCAGTCATTCTTTAATCTGAGGATGTTCTTTGGACTGAAGTAAAATTCTACATGTTACTATGCCACAGGAAAACAGCACTCTCTGCTACTCTAAGCTAGCTCTGGTCATGAAATGTAGTGTCACAAAAAGCACATGTTCAAATGAGATTATTAAAAGAATTAATTTGAGTAGCTTGGTCTCTCCCCAACATCCCAAACCTTCAGACAGCAAAGGTGAAGAAATGTCCTTTTTGTCACCGAGTTGATATTTCTCCTCCTTTATTTCTTCCTTCAACACATTTCCTTGGAATGTATATCCCATGCATTACAGAGGACATAAAATGAATTGGATAATGAATTCTGCCCTCAAAGAACTTAAAGGGCTATAAAGTATCAACTCTCATTATGAGGGTTCAGAGAAGGTGAAATGACTCCTGGCTGAGATTAGTTTCAGCAAGTGTGTAGAGTTGGGCAAGCTAAAGAGCCAGCAGCTCTTTCCATGGAGCAGAAGCTCACAGAGCGTGAAGAAAGAGGAAAGGAAAATTGTAATTGAAAATCAAGTTAGGCTCAGACACCAGAAACACTGGAAACCAAGGAACTCTGACCTCATTCTACGAATCAAGAGCCTACAAATTTTTGACCAAATACCCTCAATACGCATTTTCAATTAAAATGAACATTAGAATTAAAAGACTGATGAAACTTTAAAAGTAATTGTAAAAGTGGTAAGTTTGCTACTTATGAAAACAAAGAATGGGAAAGGCCATAACCATTATAAACTAAATCTACACAGCTAAATATACATACAAGCTGAGGGTTTCCATTTCAAAACGTTGATATAAATTCAATTCATAATATCATTGATCACATTTTTAAATATTTGGTAATTTGTGGTATTGTATTGGGACAATGTTCTCATCTTGTAAAAATTGAAGAGTTTTGTGAATATTTCTGAAAGCATCAACACTATTATTTTCACATGAATGTACATTATGATTCCTTCAACCAACAATTTCTTTCTGGCTGCATTATTTAGATTTATTTTATTTTATGTGCATGAGTGTTTTGCCTTCATGTCTATATACCACATATGTCACATGTGTCCCTGAATGCCAAAGTGGGATGTCAGATATCCCAGAACTAGAATTGCGATTGTTATGAACTATCATGTGCTCGCTGGAAATGGAACCCAGGTCTTCCTGAAGAACAGCCAATGCCCTTAATTGCAAAGTCATGCTTCCGGTCCCTCTAGTTGCACTTGAATTCTCTCATACAATGTGAAATTTCGATTGCTGAAACTGGATGATGCATTTGGTCTCTGCATTTGGCACAAGTGACTGCCCAGTGCAGTGTACTAAAGAGAAAAACATACGGGAAATTATCATTCTCTCCTGTTCAATATGCCATTTTCAGAGTGACTTATAAATAATACTCAGCTATGTTGCTTACTTGCACTCAAATGAATGCTCCTATTCGTGTCCCCCAGTTAATTGTCTGCTACATTATAACTAAATATTTCTTTGTTATTTTTAGCTAAAAAAATACAAGAATTCTTCATGCACCTCTCTATGCTTCTGTGCATATGTTGAAAATATCTGAAGGCCATATGCTCTCACTTTGAAGAGTTCTGTAGACAGAGAGGAATCAATGGGGAGTCTTTGTAGAGAAGACATGTCAAGCTGTGGTTGATGACAAGGAGGCTGACAGGAATATCTAGTGATCCTCAGTACGAATAGGCAATACAGAAAGTGATAGCCAAGTGTTAAACTTTAATCCAACAGTGTTGCATCCTTGAACATTGTTTATATGAAATTTTTGCCACTGAAACAAACTACTTCCTCTTTACCCCAGCTTTTCCCAACCAAATAAAAAGCTTCTTCCAATGAAAATGTAATGAGTTTGAAAATGAGATAAATAATATGTATTGACAATCAAATTTGTTTCTGAAAACAATTATTGTAGCTTAGTACTCTGAACAAGACAGCAAAATCTTGATGGAATCTGTGTTTATGAACATGTAACAAGTGAATGTGTAATCTTTTAGATCATAACAATCCTTTATCATTTGATCAGAATACTTTGCAGTGTAAAGATTGGGCTAGGTAGCAACATACGTCTGAAAGAATTTAAGCAGTAGTTATTAACTTTAGCTTACATCAGGATTTCAAATAGGGGCTGTTAAGACAGGGGACATTTGGTATGACTCCCAAATATTTAGATTCATATCTCAGAAGTGGGGTGTCATTTCTTTCTCTGAGGAGTTTTATAGGAGCACAATACTACTGGTAGAAGGAGAACACAGAATCAGTAGTACATTAGTTTAAAAAAATCCAGAGGTAAGAGGTTTTAGTATTGATTACTTCAACAACACAATGGCTTCCTAATGCCTTCGTAAAAGCCATTTGTCTTTCATTTTTATGACTTTTCATTTATTACCACATGATGGATGTTGCAAGTTCTGTGTCTCATGTGTCTATATAACAGTATCCAATGGCAAAAATGTGGATGAGCTATCATCAAAAAAAAAAAACTTTCTTCATACTCCCTTAGACTTCTAACCTCCTATTAGTTAGTATTGGATATGCCATTGTTTTCTATCAAGGGAGGATGGTGAAAGACTATATAGCATTTGAATTCTGCATTCAAAGATCAGACTTCTCATTCTAAAACTCTTAGGGATGCATTTGAATAGTTATCCTAAAACATTTTTACAACCATCCATATTCAAACTTCTTTCATATTGACCTCAAAGCATCTTGTTTAGACAAAAGGAGTAATAATAAAAAAAATACTACAGGCTTTGAAAAGAATCCATGCTAGAAGCATATTACCTAGCAACCTTCATTCTGAAAGTCAGTTTGCTAGAAGAGAACTGAACTGGCTCATAGAAATAACACTAAACAGTGGTTCCAGTCTGTTTAAATCAGTGCTAATTCTGCATGAGGACCTTCATTTATGAAATAAAGCATTCTCAGAGTCTAGAAACCCACAAGTTTACAGGGTGTAATTAATTGTCTTGTTTCAGTTGTTCTGTAGTATTTGGTAACTAGGTTCACACATCAAGGGAACTTAGAAATTTTACTGACAATATCCTGCAATTTTGATTTTAGCTATGTTTAAGAGAAATTTGACTTTTCAGTCTGTTTAAGTCAGTGTTCTATTGCTATGAAGAGACAACATGACCATGGCAACTCTTACAAAAGAAAACATTTAATTTGAGCTTGCTTACAGCTTCAGAGGTTTAGTCCAGTATCATTCATGGCAGGGAGCATGGTGGTATGTAGGCAAACATCCTTTTGGGAAAGTAACCAAGAGTTATACATCAAGATCCACAAGCAGCAGGAAGAGAGAAACACTGGGCCTACCTTGAGCTTTTGAAAGCCCAAAGTCCAACCCCAGTGACACACCTTCTTCAACAAGGCCACACCTCCTCATCCTTCTCAAGTAGTGCTACTACTTAATGACCGAGCATTTAGATATATGAGCCTATTGGAGCCGTTCCTATTCAAACCACGATGACTAACTATGTGTGTATGTATGTATTATAATATAGAAGTATGGGTATTTTGTTTAAAGAAAATGATGAAATTTTAGATAGAAACAGCATATATTTGCACTGAGTCTCGGGTCCTCCTTAATTCAGAGCCCTGTACAACTAAATAGCTCAGTCATCTGTGAACTGACCTTCTGTGATTTCTTTCTTTAATTTCCATGGTGACTTTAAAAGTTCCCAGTACATCTAATTTTCCTATATATCTTTCTAGTATCTCATTGTGGAAGACCATACTACCATTTTTCTAAACAAAGACTTTTCTGTTCACCGTAAATCACTCCACTGACAAGTGGAATGAAAGGCAGGCAATTTTGATTTAAATATTAATGTGATTACAGCCATCACATATTTTAAAAATCTATGAATAAATGGCTATATGGAAGGAGTGACTCAGCAGGTAGAGAATTTTTTCAGAATAGCTATATATGGAAAGAAAGATTGGGGACCTAGAATCAAACAAACAAAAATCCTCAAAGAAGATTTATCTGCATTTGAGGTGAGAATATCAATGAGGGTCATCAGTTATTCTGAGAGCCACAGAGGAGAATCTCAAAGTTAAAGTCTTCTATTCCCACATCCAGTTCAGTGCAGGGGGAAATTTTTATCAGTCTGGTGTCCTTGTGACATCAAAGTAATATCCATTTTTCCCCCTTGTAGCAGCCTGGACAGGCACGTTTGGCTTTGTAAGGAAGATGAAATGCTGGCCTGATAAATCACCTGCCAATTGAATCGATGTAGAATGTAGACACTAATGGAGCTAAGTTGAGGACAAGGACCAGGATGGGAAGGTGGTGAGAGACAAAAGACTTAGGCTTGGCAACTACTCAAATCAGACTGTCCGACAGACTCATTTTTGCTTTGCAAAAACAATACAATATGAAGATCTCTGGAATACATTCATTTCTTCTCTTACTTCTCTTTGAACTATGTCCCCAAATTTATCTTTTATATAAGCTACATTTTGTACATATGGTGTGATTACTTTCTTATGTACCACACACCAGCATTGCAAGATATCTCATTTTGGAGTATCTTTTATCACATAGTATTGAACAGAACATTTATTATTCTATAGGAATAGCTGTAATGTTTCTGAAGCAAGTTTTGGTAGACTATTACTCCAGCATTAAAAACAAAAGTGAACTTCCAAGTGAACCATTTTGACATTCTAAACAATCCTATTTTAAATATTGCCACTTTTATCAGAGTGTCTCTGTGGGGTCAGGAGAGATGACTGGGTGAGTAATGTTGTTCTGCAAACATAGGAAGGCTAGCTCAGAATCCTAGTGCTCATATGAAAGCCTAGAATTGGCAACACACGTCTATAATCCCATCTCTGGGAAGGGCACAGAAAAGGTTTCCTGTGGCTTCCCTAGTGGCTATTCTAGTCAATCTCTATGTTCCTGGTCTAGTGGGAAACACTTAAAAAATTAGTTAGAGAGTCTTTGAGGGAAATGTCTGATGATGGACATGAGACCTCCACACTTATTCATACGCACACGCACGCGCACACACATACACACGCAAGTGCACACACATACACACACACACACACACAACTTTTTGAACTGCATTATTCTATTATGTATTGTTCCAAGTTGGCAGTAGCTGTGCTCAAACAGAAGCTACTCAGTAGGATGCAAGGGAAGTCATTTTTTTCCTGGAATGCTCAGTGGAATTGGAGAGGGTACCATCAGGATGAACATCCACAAGCAATTGTTAGGATTTGCTTTTTTGTCCTATGTGACATAGATAAAGTTTAAAAACTGATTGTGTTTTCTTGTGCAAGCTTGTGACAAGAATCTGCAACTGTGAATATATTCTAATACTTCAGGTTCTAGATATTAGTTAATATTTGACATTCCATCTTTGAGTAATACAAAAATGTCCGGAGGAGACATTTTCAGGGAATCTTAAAAATGACTGAAGTGTGAAAAAAGGACAATTGGGAAAGTTCTTAATCAGATTATGATCTGATGTTTCCTCAAGGGCAAATTTTTTGGGACTAACGCTACATTACATCCCATTGGGAACACAGTGTTTTACTGCCTATGGAAAGCCAATCTCTCTTGTGTTTGCCAAGAAAGTCCCTTCAAGACTCATGTCGGTCTCTGCCTATGTTCAATGTCCATTCTAAATTAGAGGCTAAGAAGCTATATTATCCTCCCATAAGGTTAATACATGGTGTCAGACATAATTGTGAGCAAATGTTTAAGATAACATTGGAAATTAGATATAGATTGAACAAATTGTTCCATTTGGTTTTTATCAAATAGCCTATATAACCAGAGAAGAAGAAGTTCTTTATATTACATTGTGCTTGGAGAAAAGGATTTAGAGAGGGCATCAAGTGTCTGAACCCCTGTTGCTACTCTATGCTTCAAAGGTGAGGTAAGTGAAAAGAGTTCCTGCCAACAGAGGGTTTCTAATCCAACAGAGAACCGAAAGAGGTAAAAGTGATAAGCTGACCAAATGTGATGTTTCCTATGAAAAGTGGTCCTCAAATTAGATCAAAATCAAAGAAGCTTGTGCTGACATCTTCTTTACCTCCAGAAGCATCCCTAAATCGGTTCATTTTATGTAAATAAAATGAAAGTACTATTTTGACAAATAGACACAAAATTGAAAAATTAAGACTAAAGGTTAGTTGTAGAAATAATCCACAGATTAGAGAAAGTGTTATTATAAGGAAAAATATTAATTTCTATGGTTTTAAGGAATTTACAAAATGTAAACTAAAGAAAGATGAATAAACATGTGCAAAGCTTTCAAAATTCCCAAATAAAGGAAAATATAAGACACATTTATCATCATCATCATCACCATGTAATTTCTATTCAAATTTTAAAAAGTGTAATTTTTATTTGTTTGGGAACTTGTAGAGTCTTTTGTTAAATAGTGTAAAATTATAATCAGATGAAAATCACAACTGCTAGACTCTCACTGTCTTTTCTTTCTACCAACCCTCTTGACCTCTCTGAACTTTATGCAATGGCCAAATTGTCTATTGAGACATTTGTTTGTTTCTTTTTCTTTAGATTTAAATGGATGTAATCATTTCTTCATATATAACATACCCTCTTCCCCTTCATCCCTCACACACACACGCACACACACACACACACACAAATGCACACCCTTTAAATTTAATTAAAATAACTGAAATGAAACTAGAGATAATTTGTTTTTTAAGTAGACTGCCACATGCTCCATTTACATAAAACCCATTAGTTTGCATTAAATACAAATTAGCTGCTGATATGAATTAAATCACGTATAAATAGTTCCGAATAGCTGCAGAACCAGGCATTTTAATTAATATAACTGTTAACCAGATTTATTTGTAAGGTAATCAAGACTCTTACTCATTTATTCTCTAGGACAATAGGCCAGGCAATGCTGGCTGTTCTAGCACAGGCCATCATTTCTGTATGAATACAAATCCTAGAGGAAGATTGATGAGAATGATTTCAAAGTGCTCAAGTGATCAAGAACAACCAGTTTGAAAACTACGGCAAATGAGAAGACAGATGAAAACTCCACTCAAATAAGTAACTATCCGTATAAAGTTTATTGATGACCCTAAATATTCAGGTTTCTTTCCCCCTTCCCTATTTAATTGTGGCTTAATTTAAAGCAAGATTTCCAACAGTACGAAATAATTATTTTGTTGTTATTCTTATTTTGACTGTTTCATGCATCACTAATAAGTATTTCATGGTTAATAATCATTTTTCAGGGTAATTAGAATTTAGAGTTCGGTAAATGTTTCTGTGCTCTCTGAAATGCTTTTTGTTATAAAGTTGCCTAATGTCAAAGTGACTTAGTACTCAGAGTCACATGAGCAGCTGTACAGAACTGGGAATGCACATGCTAGCTAGGAGCAGAGGGATGGCAGGGGCTAGCTAGTCCACCAAAATAACTGTAGCTCTGACTATGGATGAGCCACGGTGAACTGTAGAAGGCCGCAACCACATTCTCCATCATAGATGGCGCTACACCGCCAGGTGAGCTAGAAAGCTTACACATGTTGGTATTTTTCCACTACTCCCAAGGTATCACCTGGGACTGGGAGCAGTTGACCAATCAAAGAGTGACATGTCCAAAGCAGGGTCTGTTTCCTATATAAGGGATGGGTTCCATCTTATCTGTGTCTCCGCCATGTGGCTTATGCTCTAGCTCCCAAGAGACATAAAGCTTTTCTGCAAAAGGATCCTATGTGTACCGCGTGGTTCTTGCTGGCGAGACGGTAGCGCGGGACATCTGGTGCCGAAACCCGGGATGCTCTGTTCATTATACATTTTTTAAATGGCAGCACAGCCTATAACATGGAAAACAGAGACCCTCAATCAGTTATCGACCACAGTGGCTACAGCCCTGGATCAACAGGCTACCATAGATACATCTATTAGAGGTAGAATAAAGAACAGGTGGATATCTTATGGCAGCTTGCCCAATTGGGCTATGAATGAAAAACTCCAGCCTTATGTGTGACCAATGTACCATATGAGAACTTTATAAAAATGGCTAACTTATCCCGAGAATTGTCTTTGTATCTTGCAGGAGAATTTTGATGATTTGCTGTCCTCCTTGAGACGGTCCATCATGACAATCAACTCCACGTGAGTGGACATAAGCCTGGCCAAAGGATTCCAGTCCTGGATTGTATCCTTCATCCCCTACTTCAAAGAATGGGTGGGGGTTGGAATGTTTGAAACAGTCCTATGCTATGGAATAGTGTTTCTCCTCTGGATGGTCTGCTGACTCAAATCCCAAAGTCATAGGGACAAAGTGGTTTTTGCACAGCGCTGGCTGCCCTAAAACAGGGAGCCTCTTCTGATATATGGTTATCTATGTTAAAGCAGTAAGGTTTAAGCCAACCAGCTCCTACACCCCTAGGACTATGGTCCATTACACAGGGTGGAGTGCTTGGCTTAGCTAGCCCTAAAGGTTGTGGAGCTGAAAAGCATCACACAGAGAATGGCCCTCTCTGAGAGATAAGTCGCTCTGCTTAAGGGTTTCCTGCCATATATTCCCTTTCCCAGAAAATTGGCAGAGGGCAGGCCGGATAGGTTCCAGGTGTCATGAGCCTAGGGACAGATTCCGTGTAAGTCCATTTTAATGTTTTCATTTTGGGAAGTGCGACCTCTATCTTTACCTTCCTAGGGAGTTGCCTTTCTGCAAAGAAGTAAAATTAGGGGGAGATGTAGAAGGCCGCAACCACACTCTCCACCATAGATGGCGCTACACCGCCAGGTGAGCTAGAAAGCTCACACATGTTGGTATTTTTCCACTACTCCCAAGGTATCACCTGGGACTGGGAGCAGTTGACCAATCAAAGAGTGACACGTCCAAAGCAGGGTCTGTTTCCTATATAAGGGATGGGTTCCATCTTATCTGTGTCTCCGCCATGTGGCTTATGCTCTAGCTCCCAAGAGACATAAAGCTTTTCTGCAAAAGGATCCTATGTGTACCGCGTGGTTCTTGCTGGCGAGACGGTAGCGCGGGACAGTGAACCCCCCTCAAAATGAGTTCTGGTTGCTCTGGATTACGTGAAGATTATTATTATCCTGAAGGTGGATATTAATAGCCCAATCTCATCTGACTCATGGGAATTAGTGAGAGGTGGAGCATGTTGATAAAAAATGAAAAATTGTTTTCTTTTCAGATATAGGATAGGAAGGGATACTAGCTTTGAAGTAAGGAGGCAAGAAAGAAAAAAATGGGGGCAAAAGCATGTAAACCCTAGAGGAGAACCTACCATTGCTACTTTCATAAACAAGTATAACTTGTAAGTATTCTAAAGGTTAATCCTATACCCAGAGTAAAATGTACTTCTCAATCTCGCGTTACAGAAGCGTCTGTTTGCAGCCAACAGATGCTACTACAGTGATGTACAGCTGCTTAAAGTGCTAAGAAGTAGCTATAGGGTATCCAGCCCGTTTCGATACATGTACTATAAAACCTCACACCTAAGTGTCACTGAACACTGCAGAAGAGAAAGTGGAAAGACAGTAAGAGCCAGGGGAGCAGTACCCCTGCTGCTAGAGTGTATCATCCAGTTAAGACAGGAAATCAGCATTCCTGAGCAGCATAGTTGCCAAAATAATAGCTACATCAAGACAACACCAGTCAACCTACCAATGTGGATGGGGGAAACCTCACAGGGTCCAATCCCCATATCAGGAGCTACAGACAATTTTTTTTCTCAAGACAGGGTTTCTCTGTAGCTTTGAAGCCTGTCCTGGAACTAGCTCTTGTAGACCAGGCTGACAGAGATCCACCTGCATCTGCCTCCCAAGTGCTGGGATTAAAGGTGTGCGCCACCACCGCCGGGCCAGGCAAACACTTTCAGCCAAAAGAGAGAGAATCAGTTTTCTCCAGAAATTAGTATTGTGATAGTTTAAGCAATCCCATGTAGTCAGTCTGATACACATGAATATGAAAAAGGCATTAAACAGACCAAGAAGATTATGTAAATATGTGTCTTGTGCGTATAAAATAATTAAAAAGAAGCCATGAACTTGTGAAACAGTGATGAGGGATGGAGGAGGAGTTAGGCAGAGGAGACAGCGGGGTAAAGATGACATAAACACCATACTCGTGGATAAAATTCTGATTTTTTTTTAATATAACTTAAAAGAGTGAGACTAGAGAGCCATTGCAAGAGTATGATACCTCCTCGGTTTGGTGCTAAAATTTGAGTCTTGGTGTGGAAGAATTGTCTGTCATCTGTCAATCATGTTTTAAATAAATGCTGATTGGTCAGGCAGGAGGTGTAGGGAGGAAAACCAGACAGGAAGTGAAAGTGATGCAAAGAGAGCAGGAGAATTCTGGGAAGAAGGAAGCTGATTCCTCCCGCTCCTGCCCAGATCACTGAAGCAGCAGGGTGTGATCTGCCGGCTGGAAAATGTACTGAGCCACCTGCCTAAAATAGATAAGAAAAATGGGTTAATCAGGATGTGAGAGTTAGTCAGTGAAAGGCTAGAGCTAATGGGCCAATCAGCTTATAACTCACGGAGTCCTTTGTGTGATTTTCTTTTGGGGCTAAACAGCTGTGGGAAACGGGCAGGACAGAAAACACAAACAACCAGCCCCCCTTCTTGTTACACAGTCTTCTCCAGTCACTTCCCCCAGGCACATATTTATCAATGAGATGGAATATGAGAAGAAAAGAAAAGAGAAGGAAACCAAAGGCATGCAATCAATATCCATCTGCAAAAATGCCTGTGCAAACAACCACATGACTTCTAAAGGGCAGCAATGGATATTCAGCAAAGTGCCTATACAGAAAAGCCTTCATCCGCCTTAAATCACACCATTGGATGTACAGTGTCAAAATATGAATGCTGTATTATGTGTGTGTTCAAACTGAAAGTTAGACAGGATTAAGAAAACAGGTTTAATTGACTATAACAAAAAGTCTTAGACAAATATAAAAGAAGAATACCACTTAAGTGATAATATTGAAAACATGACAGCATCGAAAGTAGCATTTCATTTTAACTAACCAACCCAGGGATTTGCTCATATTTTCTAAGCATTTTAATAGTGTTATTTCACTCAATTGTACCATAATTCTCAAATTCTCATGTTTTATATAACATGTGATAAATACTGAGACACCAAAGTACAAGTACTGTTAACCTCTCTTGCACCATAAATCCCTGCAGATATGTGATGACTATTGACAATATTTCTAAAAATCTAACAAATGCAAACAGAAAATAATTTTATATAATACAAAGGAAACCAATTACAATAAAATAAAATTACCAAAAAATATTTGAAACTGTAATTCAGTAATGCATGTGCTTCTGACTTGATATATTAAATAAAAAAGCAATGCCTTCCTAGTGCAATAAATGATATTTTGAGATTCTATTGCTCTAATATGATATAAAAATACCTAATATTTCAATTGGGTAAAATGTCAGAAGAAATATTAATCCTAATGTGCTTTGTGCAGGAAACTCACAACTGAAGGAAATGTAAATTTCTGCTCAATGTTGCTGAAAATCAAGATGCAAATTTCCCCATCCTCATACATGGACTTCTGCCAAAGGACACTTGGTCATGACTCAAGGGGGGAAATGCCCTGCAAATCACTATGATAACACATGCTATCCTTCAGCACTTGAACACAGAGCAATTTTCTTACTCATCACTAGTTGATTCCCTGCCATATTTTCACAGAAACAATTCCAAACTTTATTACCCAACTCTTTTCTCCGTGTACCTCACTTAAAAATGGATGCAACATAGCACTCCTTTCTTTCCTCCTGGCCCTAAAATGTTTGTGAATATTCATTGTTTCACCTCCACCCTCAGGATTACAGATCACGGAAAAGCTATGGCAGATGTTTGTTGGCTCATGAGAGATAGTAAGAAACACGGTATTGGTCTGGTAAAAAAGCACTGAGCAGGTGCTATTACAGGTAAAATAGGAGCTGCCCTGTAATATTTCTTTCCGGAAACCCTTGTCCCGGGTGTGAACATGGGCATTCCTTTATGAAGAACTATAGTATAATCCGGAACTATGAAAGGCAGG